GTAAAACTTGCTTGATTATAATGATTAATGATTAATATTATTCTAACTTTTTTTTTAGATAATATTAGTGAACTAGACACTCATTAAGGGTAGTGATATGCACGTAAAACGCCATAATTAGACTTATTTTTTATACCGAACAAAGATATTTAAAAATGGAATGAATTCTGATCGTAATAAAGATATTTAAATGGAATGAATTCTGATCGTAATTGTTCACAATGGAAGCATTTGGTTAATAATCATTTTAATGATTTTCTTCTACCCTACTAAAATAATAGGTTAATAACTGGTGCATTAATTACAGAACTAATAAATTCCTATAAATGTTGAAGATATACAAAGAGTTTCGATAATCATTATGCAAGATGAAATAATAGATAAAATTCGTAAATCATTAAAATTTTTTTCACAAGTATTTAAAGAGATAAATTCACAATTAAAGTCAAAATGATAAAAGTGAACCTAGATTTTCTATTATTAAAGAGGTTAAATATCGCGTTAATGAATAAATACATGTGAAAATCAACTATTCCAAAAAACTAATCTAAATAAAAATATCATCGTCCATTATTGTTTATATAGATATCCCATTATGGAACACAATAACTTTACAATGAGATTAATTTCAATTTGGTGATACATCTCCTTCTGCAATATCCACAGAAAGAAAAAAGGAACAATTTTAAAATAATTATCATACATCAACAATGTGTTAGAAAATAATATTTAAATCAAAGATAACAATTACCAGTAATGTAATTCCAGCAAAAAAAAAAGTATGTATAAATTAAAAATAATGACAAGAATATCAAAATACTTTTCGATATTAATGTCAAATAAGCTAGATTGTACTAATTAATAAATTTATTTTAATCTACAATTAAAATCAACAATTATTAGTATTTAATTTAAGAATAAATAGTGAAATTTCTTGCTATTCGAGATACTGTGATGTAAAATACAGTTAGACGAATATTTTGAAAATAAATGTAAATAATTATTTCAAGAATTGACAAATGAAAAATTTACACAGATCTTCAATAATTTTAAATTAAAAACAACTGTGTTTTGTATAACTCAAACTCTATTTTTTTTTAAACTGGATTATAATTGGCACGTTTTTAAACTTACAATGTTTTTTGTTTTTTTTTTGTTTTGTTTGGGTTATTTGTTTCACGTCGACAAGTTTAGATATGACTGGATTACTTGATCCAACTCTTGAGACTAATTAGTTTTCACATTTGAACTTTATATATTATAAAGTTTCATTTTTTAATTTTTTTTTTTTGAATTGTATTGTTACGAATCCTACAAATTTATATTTTTTCAGTCATTGTACTTTTAAAAGGGGATTATAAGTATCACAAAAAGTTGTGTCACAATAAATATAAATGGAAGTAATATAAGTAGTATGCAAATACCCTTTTGAAATAGACATTCAGAATTCATTGCATATATATTTATATATTAAATCTGCTTCTCATTTTGTGCTGCATATTAAGTACATGCTACTATACTACTTTATAACTTAAAATAAGATCATGTAAACATTCATTCTTACATTTATTAAAAACTTAATTAGTAATTACAATAGATAATATGATCGAAATAATGAATTTGCATAATAACCTTTGTTGCATTGTTTGAAAATCAAGGTACACTATTGTAGAACGATTAAAGTCATTCGTAACTTATCAAGAGAACACATGCAAGTCACCGTGTAAAATTAAAATGTCAAAAAAATATGATTATCCCGATCTAAATAATAACAATATAGACGTATTCATTATGGTTAAGATTTAAACGCGAGGCTAAAACGCGTGGCCGTAATATCTTCTTTTATATTTTGTTTGTTATAATTTTCACGTTTTGGTGCATAATTTAGATACATTGTACACCTGACTCTTGTAGTGACAAAGTATTAAACTAAATATATATAAGACAAATGACGTCAAAAATCTTCAAATCACTTCAATAAACTCTCAAAATAAGTTAGTAAAAGCAGAAAATCTCCCGATTCAAAAGAATATTTGTAATCGAGATTATTCCTAAAAATAAATTTCGAATTTATTAGTTTGTAATTATCAATTCTATATTAGCATTTATGCATGAGGTATAACACTAAATATAACACGTGCGTTGTACCATTCTCTCTCATGTGATATTAACTTTAAAACTTTAAATTTTAAAAACTTTAATGACGTAAATTTTTCTTCTAAGTATTATAACAGATAAAACGATATCACATTCAACAAATTTAGAGTCACTGTGTTCAAATTGTTTATCTCCAAAGATATTTGTGATTATTTTTGAAAATTTAATAATTATAATATATAACCGAATCACACGAATTGAAAAAAAACAAAACAATCAACTCAAAGATAAACCCAAATTAGTAACTTTAATTGCATATTCTAGACCAATTAATTGCAGACAGCACAACTAATCGGAATTGTTTTGATGGCAACAATTAAACCAAGATCAAGAACCGGTTTGTTTATTAACGAGAAAGATCTTTATAAAATTTTTTTTCAAGGTAAGACATGCTGCATATAATGTATTACAAATGTGCGCCGCTGCATGACACAAATGACACAAATGACACAAAGTACAGTTTAACGTAGAAATTTTAATTATTTAAAATTATGATCGAAATACGGTATAAATTAAATTCTTCAATTACACTTTTCGCCAAATCACATGAAATTATCGTCACGAATTAATTGCGATATTGTTTGTTGTGAGTTCAAAACAAAAAAAAAATTGAATGAAATATAATCTTAAAAGGCGTATTTTCAATATAAAATTTTATCAAAAAGGAAACACCAAAATTATTTTTCTTTTAAAAAAGAAAGATTACATAATTCATTTTTTCGTCAATCACATGAAAATCCATAAAAATAGATAAATAAAAATTCTTGTGGTAGAAACAAACTAGACGAAATAATAACAATCATAATAACTTTGATAAATAAGGAATTCTTTTTATTTGGTGCAGAAATTTCAAATTTTTAAAGCTGTATAAAAACCATCCCTACTATATTTTTCAATACCAAACCAACTTTGTTTGGAAGGTTTGCGATAACTCAATGAACTGATAACAGTCGAAAAAAATTTTTATATTAAATCTTGCTTTGGTTTAGTATCATAGATAGAAAAGGTTGGGGATTATCGTTCACCATCACGAAACAAGTAAAAATTAATGTAGATTCGGTAATTGGGATGTTAAATTATAAATTAATATTAGAACGTGGGGATTACGCAAAAAAATGCGCAAAGTTTTTATTGGATGCTGGACAAAGAATTTTCTAGAAACCATTAATTGATATCAGTTTGTTGTTAATATTAAATAAAAGATTATTTCTACACCTGTATTAACCAACAATCCAATAAGTTGTTTCAAATACTAATGCGTGGCTTTTATCTATTATAATATTTGTTCTCAATTCTATCTCTTTTATCTCTTTATCTTTTTTCCATTTTATTCATTTTATTAAATATAAACAAGTTATTAAACTTTTTTCAAGTTTGCGACTACCTTTTATGTTCTGAGAAAGAAACCCAATAAAATCTTTTTTTTTTTTTTTTTTCAATCCATCTTTAGAAAATATTGATTGATACAAAAACAATAATAAATTCTAATATTTATTCTATTGTGTTCTTTAAATAATAAATATTTTATTTATTTATTTTTGTAAAATACTTTTACCAAAGATTTATATCGGTAAACTATAAATATTGTGATATAATTAATTTTTTAGAACCCAAACGTTGAACAATAATATTAAATAAAATTTTTAAATAAAACTTTATGAATTATTAAAAGAACTTAATAATTTAATTACATTGTTTTTTCAGGGTTGATCATTGTTTAGTAGGAACCATTCATAAAAAAGAAATTTCATTTGATTTGACACAGGGACCAATTCAAATTAATTAATATTAAAATCAGTAAATAAAATAACAGAGAGGCGTTGGGGAATATTTTTTTTTGTGATGAAAGTTTTTTCAATTAATTGAATTCGTGATAAAAATATTGTTAAATTCATAATCTTGATCATGCACTTAATTATCATTAAAAAATATCAACAATAATAATTTTCAATAATAAATAGTGCAGGAATTACACATGTCAAACATCCCTTTCTCTACTCCCTTTCTTTCACAAAGAATCAAAAGTAATTTATCAATAAGTTTGACTTAAATAATTAAATATTTTCTCTAGGTAAAATAATAAAATAATAATATGGGAGAGGTAACACTACGCCACGATGCACATATTGCGTTTCGCTAATCTTAACGTCATACTAGATCCCAAAAATGAATGGGATCATTTTATTTGTTACTTTTTTAGTATGTATTGAAAGTTTAAACAAACAAAAGGGTTAATCTTAATTATATCATCAGAAATCTTTTACTATTTCAGACAATTACGCATTTACAATAGGAATTGGTCACCTTAATAATAAAAATAGTATTGCGGCAAAATCATTTATTATAATTTTTAGCTGATTAAATGATGTAATAATTAGTCTGGACTCTCGCCAGAAATGGTAAATATATTATATAATTTTTCCTTGGATGATCACATATTCAGCTTAAATGAATGGTCATGATTGTGGCGGATTGTGGCGGATGCTATAGTGGCTAGTATAGCGTGACACTGAAATTTAATATTTTTAATTAATGTGATTAGTGATTTATCACATTGAAACCTATGTATCGGATATTAAAAATCAATAAAAAAATCTTATCATTACAAAGAAAAAAAAAATTAATAACATATATATATTTTTTTTACAACCTTATATAAATTAAGGCCTGAATATAACGCAATATTTACAAATAATTTACTTCTTTCATAAGGAAATAAAATAAAGTATATTATTTGGTATTAATCATTTGTGATTCAATAATCAATAATGTTTAGCAAACAAAAATTTAAGTTTAATATGAAATGCCAAAAATGTCGAACAGAATGACAAGACAGGAACGATTCATGAACCCTAAAAAAAGTTGGGTTAAGTCTTGAATTAACATAATTTTAGATTTATTAAAAAAATATTTCTTTGGGAAATCAAAATCTAGCGGGTTAGAATCAGGAATCGCGAAAATTGTAGATGAAAAAAAAAGCAATAAGCTAAAAAATTTCAAGTTTTTACAAGGATTCCTTTTCGTTTCATTGAGAATCATCTAATTATTAACTCAAATTAGTAATTAGATAAGAAATGGTGTATTTAAATATATTTTTACACGTTAAATTTTATTTGTCATAGAAACAGGTATAAACGTGATAATACATGTTTGTCACGTAAATCTCGTCTCTCGTGACAATGATATACATCCAAGACTAAAAACGCGCTAATATTAAACTATTTATAAATTCTATATGACTATGAAAAATTTAGAACCTAATAATTTAGCAATTAATTTATTCTGATATTTTTCGCTTTTTCGTTACACCATATCTCAATTTTTGTTCTGCAAATTCTGCATTTTTCCTTTTGCGATTTTGTTTCTTCATTTCATTCTTTCTTATTTTCCTTTTGGCTGCTGCCTCGGGATCAATAATAGTCTATAGAACGTGCCAATAAATAGATAAATAAGTAAACATTATTAATTAACAGATAAATTAAAAAAAAAAATAACATCTTACCCTCATCACACGTTTCTTTTTACGTTCTCTTCTCACATCTGATACTTGTTGTCTCACTTTATTATATGCAACATGATACTGGGTTGTACCAACGCGCTTTTGTATTAAATCAAGAACTTCTTTTCCAAGTTGTTTAATATTATCTATTAAAATTTGAATATCAAGTATCAAGTTTGTTAATAAAAAAGGATATGCGAAATGAATAAATAAATAAAAGTTATAATTATTATTACCAATATTTTGTCCTTTGATGGTCTCATCGTTTATAAATCGATAGATGGGTGAAATTAAGAAAATTAGATATGGTTCTAATTCTTTAGATGGAACAAATGTCGACATTGCAGCAAACCATTGATATATACTTTTTCGCTGTCAAAAAATACGATCAATCAAAATAAATATATTAAATATATATATATTAAATATATATATAATATGATAACATAATATATTAATTAATATGAATTACCTGGTAATCGATGGAATCATTTTTTACGGGAGCAAACCTTGCTTGATATGATATTTTCTTGAAAAACCAATATAACAACGGGCTTGCACTTGTAACTTCGAGGCTCTTAATAGTCTTTTGCAAGTTTTGCATATCTGTGTTTAATTCTTCCGATTCATTTATTTGGTCATTATTTTCGATTGAAACATTTTCAGAAGATTCGCTATCATAATCATCATTTTTATTTTCATCGTTAGCATCATCATTTTCATTCTTATCTTTTCCATGTATTAACTTAATTTCGTTAGTATTTTCTTCTAATAAATAATAAAAACACTTTCCTATAAAGAATAAATTCTTTACAATTTGTGTTGCAAGTTCTAACTCTAACATTTCACTTTTCAATTGAGTACAAAGTGATGATGCTATTTTTTTTAATACATCTTTAGTTAAATAATCAATTTTTATATTTGATCCAGTAGGAATCATTGTTTCTGGATTAATGTTAGCAAAGTACATGCCGTATAATCTACTAGACGCTAATCTTATCCACGTGTGAGGATGAAGAATGTGTTGTTCCACCAATAACCATATTTCCTTAGATTTTTCTGAATGAAGGATCGAAGGAAAACTTTTTAAAAGTTTTGTAAAGGTATTCAACGCATAATATCCTAATTCCCAATCCACACTATCAACTAAATATTCATTATTTTCATTATTATCTTCAATATTAGAATTTAAACTCTCTAGTTGTTCCAAAATTTGTTTACTTGAGATCAATGCATTTTTCAAAATATCCAACAATTTAGAAATATGACTCTTAAACTTATCTCCAAACGACTCAATGATAAGACCATAGATCTGAACTGAAATTCTTTGTAGACTCTTTTTATCATTTTGATTAAACCATTTATCTATTAATAAATATACATTCCTTAAATGTTGTTCATCCATTCGACGCAGCAAAATCTTTATCAATGCTCCGGCCATTTCGCGGCATTTGTTAGAATCATCATTAATCAATGCCATTGCCAAAGATATAAAGAAAATTTCAGCATATTCCATCAAAATATCATCACTAAATTTGGTAATCATTAAGTTCATCATTTCCATAACAGATTGTCTCCCACTTTCAAAAACATAATTAAGATTTCTAATTAAAAAGTTTATTAAATTTTTAAGGCGTCCACGACCTTGAGGATAATCCATAAGAAATTGAAATAAAAGTTGTTTGGAAAGATCACGAGTTTGCGAAGACTGATTCGTGATCATTATTTCTAATACAGATTGCATCAAGTCATAAATTTCCGGAATTACAAATTTACGTGAAACAATAGCCCTAATTAGGGAGAAAGTTGTACTTTGACGATCTGGATTTTCAAAATCAGGTCGGATAAGATCAATGAGAAATGCCAATTGGGCATCTTTCAAATCCACTTGTTTACAATCACGAATGACGATTATAAGTAATTTGAAACAATTTTGAGCCAACTCGGAATTCGTAGAGCCTGATGTCTTTATTAAAGCAAATGTCTGTTTCACGATAACTGGTAAAGCATTATCTAAAGACTTTAGTTTGAGTTTGCATAAAATACTCATAACCTTAATGGCAAGAATATTTACGACTTGATGTTGAGAATACATAGAATTCCCTACTATATTAACGAACGGTGTTAGCATCTCAAGATTTTCCTCGGTCTTAAGATCAAATTTTTCATGTTTTAGTGCAGCCAAAAATATCGTAAAACCAAATTGCACAAAACGATATGAATTTGTATCAAAATAATCTATGGGATTTGCAACATCACGTTTAAGTTGTACTATATAATTCATTTCTAAATTAGATTTGTTGATTTTTGTTTTAAGTGTCGATTTTGATATATCAAGATTTTGAGAAATTAATCCTTGACAAAAAATGCTCATCTCTTTGGCATCAAATTTTGGATTCGCGTTTAAACCAATTGCAATCTTTTGCAAAATCTCTTCAACCTTGCTTAAAGTCTTTGTATTTTGTGTTTCACGCATTATATCTTTAAGTGGTAATAAAAGTATTCCAAGATTTTTGAACTCAATAATTTTTGCAAGTAATTCAAATGAACCAATGCTTTTGCTAGATTTCATTTCTTTCATTTTATTCGTAATCTCTTCCACATCCTTTTCTTTTCCAACTTCCCCAAAGACATCATTTATCATAATATCGGTGATATTTTGAATGCAGTAATCAATAGAACCAACATTTAAATTTGGAACAAATTTTGTTAAGAGTGAATTTAAAGTGTATCCAAGAATATGTAATTGATATCCCTTAGTTAAAGCTCCTTGTAACTCTTTTACCACAAATGAAAAGTATAAGGGACCTAAAAAGTTTGATATTCTAATTAATGTATCTCTAGTTGAATCTCGCGTATCCTGATTACGGCTTCTTAAAATTTGGCATACTGTAGTCAAAAGACCAGGTAAATGGGAACGAAGAGATTCTTGAGGTAAAGCTTTTAAAAGTTTAGTTATAGAAAATGCAATCGGAACTCGAATTTCAATATTTCCATCATCATATTGAGATAAATATTCTTTAAGATCAGGGATTACCCGATTAGCAATTGTGTTATGGATCTTCTGATTTAGAGATATTGATGTTTGTTGTAAAACCGTTTCAGAAATTTCAAAATGAAAACTATCAAGAATCGCAATTATAGTTTTAACTAACATCTTCTCTAAGTCTTTTTTCTTTGATATAATATTCATATATTGTTTCAATAGATCATAATATTGAATCCAATTAAGTTGCCTTGCGATAATTCCAATTGTTGAAATCGATTCATTTATCAATACATGATCTTCCATACGATTGGTTTCAAAAATAAAATGACCAATTAAGGGAGCGAATATTTGCATTAAGTTATTATTTTTTAATTTTCCATTAGCACATTCATTCGAGAATCTTTTGAGTGCACGAGTTCGACGATGCATTTGGATGTGATGTATATTATTAAAAAAGTTTGCTTCTTCTTCATCGAATAAAAGACAAGCCATATCCGAGAATTGAGGTATTGTTGAACATTTTTTAACTGCGTGGGATAATACATTAAGATATTCAATGCGAACAAGTTCTAGGTTCGATTTCATGCCTCTTTTGATCGCTGGGTATACTATCTGTATCAAAAGGTTCTGTAATTTTTCATTGACATTAGAGTATTCTGATCCTTTTAATTCATCATTATCAATTTTATTTTTGATTTCCGCTACACGATCAATAAATCGTATAATACAAAACGATGAATTTTGCCGAATCGAAAGTTCATCAGGATCCTGAATAAAGAACAGGCAATTATGTAATAACGGTAACCATTGAAGGGGTGTATAAGTTTTATAAGCATTTTCGTTGACGTGACTAAATGCATTCAAACGTCGTTCAAAATCAGGTTCATCCAATATTTTAGTCGAAAAAGCGTTTAATTCATCGATTGTTTTTGTAATTTCTTGTAAAGAATTGTCTAATTTAGAAAATTCCTCTAACACATGAACCAGAAGTATTCGACAATCACGCGAACGTAATGTTGAAAATTCATAAGAAATAAAATTGAAATATCTTTGAAATAATTCGCTTTCAGGTGATAATCCTTGAATTACGGATAAAAATTTAACAACGATTCGTAAAATATCTGCCTTAGTTTTTTCTTGAATAATTCTTGAGGATTTTCTAAGATATGGTAAAAGTAAATCCACAATTTTTTTGGCTTGCTCACTGTTATCTATGTAAGAAGCAATATGAGAAAGAATAGATATTTCTCTTCGAGAGAAAGTATCTTTACCAAAAGATATATTTTTACTGGATTGTGTCAGGACATATTCCAAATTATCCAAGAGCTGTGGAACATAAGGTTTCAAAACTTTATCAATCAAATTTATTTCTTCTGGTTTAACATATTCGGTGTCAATTTCCATTTCATTTATTTCATTTCCACATATTTTCAATATATTATCAATTATATCTAATACTTTTGTGATAACCGATTGTTGTACTTTCTTGGAAGAAATACATGCAAATATTTTTGGAAGCAAATCTTTATTATATTCAACCAAATAGGGTAAATAATCTTTGTTTGATGTCCAAATTAAAAACAGTTCCATTAAAGCTGATGGTGCTTGAGTGTTTTCGATGTCTAACTTTGGAATTCTCATAGAAATAAATGAGTCAAACATCGATCTGATATATGGTTTGTAATTAAATAATGAGTTAATCTTAAAAAACTCAACAATTCGTTTTAAGCCAAGGTGTCTTATATTTTTGAACTTTTGACTAAGATCTTTGGAATTATAATCCATCATTTCAACATTATCATTATCACCATTATCACCATTATCACAATTATCATCATTATCTCCATTGACTTTTTGGATATCACCTTCTGCTATCAAATTTTTCTGTGCACTATGAACAATATATAAAACAACCTTTAATAAATCAGGAATAAAATGTACTAAATAAGAACCTAATTGTTTTAGGAAATCTCCAATGAAATTAAGATAACCCAATTGCTTCCGGAAGGAGACATATTTATTGATGTCCAAATTTGGAATAAATTTTAATTCGCTATCAGAGAAATCATTTTGTTGACGAATAATTGAAAAAGGTTCCAACAATAAATCAATTAGAAATCCTAACTCTGATTCCAAACAATTTACTAAGGAAGATAGAACAGCGATTCTTCGGGAACCCATTCCAGTTTTTGATGATGATTTGCCTTTCCTTGCTATCATACGACCATATAATAATCGTATAATTATGGGCATAACTTCGGTTCGATGCCCAATTTCAATAGATCCATTTTCCATGTTTAAGGAAAATGTTGATAATTCATCCCTAAATTTTGATTCATCGACAAAATTACGGAGATTATCCTCATAAGGAACAACACCTTTATATTTCCATGTGAACAAACATTCTAGTGCAAGAGCTTGTATTTTGATATCACCTTTTGCTAAGAAACGCAAGTAAACATTACGAAGCTCGGAAGATTTATATAATACACGTGGGTTTTTAAATTTTGTGAAAAGTGTCATGAATAATTTTATGATGTGCTTAAAGTTTCCGGATAGTAATATCTTATTATTAACTTCATCAATGTTCATCGTTTCATTAGAAATTTTTTGCTGAAATATCATATTATCATTATTATCATTATTATCAACCTCCATCTGATCTACAATTCCATCACTTATTGAATCATTTTTTTTATTCGTGAAATGGAGGAAAAGAGGGATCAATTGTCGAGAATGTTCTTCCGCAATATGAGGTACCTCGATAAGAGCCTTTATAAGAAGACTATAATAATTCCAAAAATCAAATTTATCATTTTCTGGAACACAGCACTACAAGATGATTATATAAATTAATTAATTAAAATTCAAATTAATGAAATTAAAAAATTAAATGACAATATAAACAATATAATAATTAGATAGTCAAAAAGCTTACCGAAATATAATGACGAATACAACTGTTAGCAAATTTATCTGTAATAAAATGATATGAATCTTCTGCCAACTTATTGAATTTGAATAAATTTGGACATTCAAATGATATGCCACTTGATGAATGGGTAGATTTGAGATATATTTGATCCTCTTTAAAAAAGGATTCGAGTGTTTTCTTAGAAAATCCGGTTTGTTCAAATTTAGAATCCTGGGACTTTGAAAGTTCATTATAGATAAAATTCCAGAATTCTTTTGGATTTATTTTGGCAAAATTAACTAGAGAATCAATTGCATCTTTCCATATGGCACTGAAATTAATGGTAAATATGCCTTTTTTACAAAAAAAAAAAAAATTAAAAATTAAAAAAATGAATGAAACATAAAAGATTTAACGAACATAAATAATCTTAATTCAACATACCAAAACAAAGCAAGGGAATTACTTCGTAATAAAATTTCGGTACTTTTTGGGTAGATATAAGTGTATCCAACTTTCTAAGTAGCATGGCTTTATTACGATAAGTAGTCACCGTTGTTTCAATTTCTTCAAATTTCAAGCATATTGAAAATATTTCACAATATTCTTGAATATTATTATTAGATGGTTCCGAACCATTAAGACAAAATTGATCAAAAATAGAAAGAATTTTTAAAGAATAAAACCGTCGTTGATTTAAATAAGAGCTAAGATTACACTTTAATTGTGGATATATTTTCTCAAGATTGTTGGTTCCAAATAAGTTATCATGTTTCTTGCTGAAATAATTTTTTAAATAATTATTAAATAAATAATTGTTAAAGAAAATAAAAAATTCCACAAAAAAAAAAAAAAAAAAAAACTTAAAATATTTACCTGGAACGCAAAGAATCAAGATATTCCGAAACACCTTTCAAAATTACAAGATTGTCATTATACGCAATTAATATTTCGTCAATAACGAGATTCCATATTTTAACTAATTTTTCTATATTTTCAGGTTCAGAATTGATTCGACATATTTTTGTCAAAGTACCAATAGCTTGTCCTATCAAATTTATTATCAAGACGTATGGGGAACCCACAGTGAGAGATCTTTCTTGATGCAACTTAACAGATTTAGAATCAACAGATCGTAAAAATTGGACTAAAGTCTCAATAAATATTAATAATGCGTCAAATGTTGTTGAAAATGAGAAAGTTGTATGAGGAATAATAGTAAGAACGGCCGAAACTAAAGCTATATGAGAATAATTTTCGTTCCCCTTAGAATCCAAATGCGATTGACTTAAGTTGTTTACTTTCAATTCCCAATCACAATCTTGATTCAATAAACTTAATAATCCATCTATAATGTTTTGACTTTGAAATTTTATTAATCCTTCTTTAGTTATAAATGATGAAATTGTCCCAGGTGTAATTGTTAAAGTTTTCTGCAAAAATAAATTGGCAAGAAACAACGTTATTTTTGGTGGATTGGTATTCCAGTGAGTTGAGGAATATCTAGAAAATTAAAGTTATAGTAATTACCAGTAAATTTATATTAAAAAAAAAAAAAAAAGGATAGTAATTCGAAATCAATTCTAATACAATATATTACCTAACAATATATGGAAGCATTATATTTGTATAATGTTCCCATTTCAAATTAGCAAGATATGAAGAAAATGACAAAACAAAATCGATATCCTAAAATTTTATTAAATAAAATAAAAATAAAATGTTATAAAATTGAGTCCTAAATCTAAAACTGATTTGTAAATGAGTACACACATTGCATATGAATATTTTATCCATTAAAATCTTTCCAGTTGAAAAATATTCATCCAATGGTATCAATGTTATTAACGATGCGGATATCTTGAGGAATTGATTACGAAAAAATAAATAATCATTTGTGATTTTCGTGTTTTGGATAAAAACATATGATGAGATAATCTTATTTATTCGTTTTAAATTTCCTATTTTTTTTTTTTAAACAAAAAGTAAGCTATGGGAAGTGATAATAGATAGATTACAAACATACAAAATTATAATTTAATTAAAATACCTTTCACACGATTTCCTTTTCGCACAGTTAAACATATACGTGCGAGAGATAAAGTAATTCCTACTTTTATGAAAATACCTTTTGGTAGATCATTCTTTGAATTTTCATATTCTTTACATAAAAAGTCATAATTATTTTTTAATTCTTTCAGATAAAAATCCCATAAGGGACTAAAATGTTCACTTTTTGAATGGTGAATTAGTGCAATTGTAGTCGATGTTATTACATGATAACTATATATGGATTCTAATTAGAATAATTAATAATTAATAATAATAATTAATAATAATAATTAATAATAATAATAATTAATTAAAAAATAATTGGAAATATGCACAAACCAATATTGTTAATATTAATTGATGAATCCTTATACAATTTATTTAATAATTCTTGCATTAAATCTATTGCACTATCGTGAAGCTTATTATCAGAATCCTATTCGAGACGAGATAGAAAGAATTTGACGAATTGGTTATTTTATTATTATTTTTTTTTTTCAATAAATAAATTAAATAATAAAAATAATCATTTTACCTGTGCAGTTTCATAAAATATCATGCATAATCCTTCCAAATAAGTATCAGACGGTGATTCATTAAATAATTCAAATATGTAATCAATTATATTCGTAAGTTTTTCGCCTTTAACATGACGAAGAAGATATGCAAATGATTCGGCTGCAAAACGTCGAATGTAAGACTTGTCCGATTTTTCACCGAATAAAGGTGCAATTAATCTGATTTTATTGATTTTATTAAAAAAAATATATAAGTAATCTTGTTTAATCAATAAAATGTTAATTAAAAATAATTCCATATCGAAAATTAAAAAAATATTCGTACCGATAAGTCGGGCGAAGATCCACTATTATTTGATTGAATAGATATTTAAATAAGTAAGCAATACAGTTAAATGCATGCTTTGAATGAAAAGAAAAAAATGAAAAAAGGTGAATATGAAATTATGAGAAATCTAGGTCTTTAAAGGTAATATCATAATATAATAAAATTGGCAAGTAAAAATAAATTAATTTTAATTAATTAATTTTTTAAATCAATATATACCTTTAACGTTTTTACATCTCGAAGTTTTGTTAAAGGTATTATTGTTGCAATGATCTGTTCAAAATATGGATAAAATTCAATTCCTAAATCTCTAGCTAATTTTGTGACCAGACTAAAATTAAAATTAAAAATTAAAATTAAATTAAGTTAATCAGGTGAAAATAAAAAAAAAACATTAATGTATTGTCTATTAAGCTTACTCTAATAATGGTTCCAAAGCTTGACTATTTTTAACTTTTAAATGATTTTCCAATATTTGGATTATCTTTTCCTTATGATATAATAATTGAGGAAGTGATTGACAATGTGAAGAAATTTCGTAAACAAAAGTCGCAAAATCTGTTGATAAATTAAATTCTTTCCACGTTTCTAAAGAATCATGAAAAAATGAATCAAATCCCTAATAATTTTTTTTTTAATTAAGAGAAAATATTTTTCAATAGTACAAATAATAATAATAATAAATATAAAATTGAATAAAAATTATTAATTAAAAATACTTCTGGTTCTTCTTGTTTATCCGCACAACGAGTAATATCAATTTCCAAGTTTTCAACAAGAACATTGAAAGGTTGATACTAAATAATAAACATTTAAAAAATTTTAATGAAATATTGTTATAAAATATTATTAAATTGTTTAGATTATTTTTTACTTTATATCTATTTTTTCCTTCTCCAGTGTTAAGCTCTTTAGTGTTCATGGTTTTAATGATTTTACAAGAAAAAATGATAATCTTAAATCAAATTCACTAAAAAATTACTAGGTCGTCACATGAACAAATAATTCAAGTTGTCATTCGAACTTTTTTTTTTTTTTTTAATCGAATCTCACCTCATGAAGATATTAGATCCAGATACAGACTACTCTTCAGATGATTCTGAATTCATACTGAATGGTAACTTATTTCTAAATCATTTGCCTCATATGTTAAAATATTTATTATTAAAATAATATTAAAAGTTTTATTTTAAAGTTTTATTAAATATTTATTATTAAAATAAAATTAAAAGATTATTAAAAGATTTATTTTTTAATACAGAGAACAAAGAAAGTGATAATATTACAAGTGTAGAACCAAAAGTTTTGACTAGAAGTAAGAGAAAAATAATTGAAACCGAATTAGTAGATAACGAAAATAGCAAGAAATTAAAGTATATATTCATTTATTTACGTTCTAATATTTTATTATATTTTATTATTATATTTTATTAATATTTTATTAAATATTTTATTTAAATATTTTATTATATTTTTTAAATATTTTATTAATAATGTTTTCTTTATAGGAATGACGAAACTGAACAAGAGTCGAAAACAATCAAAGACAATGTTGATGCAATATGGGCAGAATTAAATAAAGACCAATTGATAAAGACTGATTCTGTTCAAGAAAAAATTTCAACCAGTTCAGAAAGCACGAAAAACGAGGTAATTTCTAATAAATTATTCCGATAAATTTTTTTTTAGGTATCAAAAAACAAAATTAAAAAATATTATTTTTTTTAGTTCTATCCAACATTTGATAAAATGATTACAATAACTCAAACTTATGAATTTGCTGGGGAAATTATGAAGTAAATATTAAAATTTTCAAATTATTTTTTTTTAGAAAAAAAAAAAGATAATAATTTTTTAAAATATAATTCTAAATATTAGGGAACAAAAACGAGTTTCTATAAATTCTGAGGAAGCAAGAAGTTATCTTGAAAGTCAAAATGATGATAATAATAATAATAATAATAAAAATAATAACAAAATCAATAATAATAGTGAGAACATAACAGCAACAAATAATAATGATAATAAATTAGAAATCAATTTAAATTCATCTAAAACATCACTTGATAAAAATCAGCAATCTCCAAAAAAGCCTCGATCACCTATCGCAGAAGCCATTTCAAAACGTGGAAGATTTGGTAGACCGAAATCGAATCTTAGCGAAATTGCTGCTTCATTAAAAAAAAAGCCATCAAAAATTAATACATTGGAAAAATCTAAAATGGATTGGAAAAAATATGTGGATAAAGAAGGACTTGTTGATGAACTTAAATATCATAACAAGAATGGGTAAGATTTTTGATTTTTTTAATGTTTTTTTTTTTTAAAAAAAAAAAAAAAATTTTATGAATTCATTATTGAATTATTTATTAATTTACAGCTTCATAGAGAAACAAGAATTTTTACAACGTGTCTATGATGCGCAGAATTCTGAAATAAAAACATTAAAAGATAAGAGTAAAACAGTGAAATAAAATTATATATAAAAAATGAGATTTGAAATAATAGGAATGAAATTATTCTTTTGATATTATGATAATCGCCTACATAACTTCTTTAATTAATTTAATTAATTCTAATTAAAAATAAGATGAAAGAATTAATTTATTAGTCAATAGTAGTAATTCAAAAAGATATTTCAAGGAATACTTTTTGATTAATCATCTGATTGTTCATTTGTCTATTTTTTTTTTTTTTAATAAAAAGAACATAAATTAAGCAAAATAATTTATTTTGATAACGTTCGTAAATCATTTATAATGTAATAAAGAAATTAATGACTATCTCTTGAACCGTCAGTTTTCACATGCTACTATGTTTTAGCGGTAAAATTTGCCCGCTTGACGGATTAAGGGATAGTTATTAAATATTCGGCATATGTCCCTATTAAGAACTTACTTTATCAGCTGACTTTGGCGAATATTCGCGCATGACGTAGATAGATAAATAAATAAATAAATAAATAAATATAAAATATAAAATAAACAAAGTCTCAACAAGATTCTTTCAAACCAACAAAATTAACACATATATTCTTATTTAAATTAGAAAAAATAAAAGTAAAAAATTACATTTGAATAGTGTTATTGTTCAATTTTAAAGTCAGTTCTCATAAAAATGGAACGGAATTCCACTCAAGAATATAAATTTGAAACTGATTATCAAAATTTCATGAAAAAAAAATTCTTCCCGAGTCACGAAATAAATGAAATAAATGATGATGGTGTAACAAAATTTGTTGCCAATTTACATTCGGAAGGCAATTTGACGACTCACCTGTCACTACATAACCGTCAGTCAATCGAAGGATGGTTGACAAGGGAAAATGAACGAAAATCCATAATAATAATTAGTGATTCAGAGAAATCATTTTTAGAAAATAGTATTCAAAAGTCTGAAAATATTTATTCTAATAATAATAATAATAATAATAATGATGATGATGATGATGAAGCAGAACAATTTCGGTGTTCGATTTGTGGTGAAGATATTACAATTTATAGTCCTGTTATACGTCAATGGCATTTGAATACTTGTCTTGATACTCTTAATGTAAAAGAAAAAGAGAAACCAAAAATTATAAAGTTTAATTCAAATCATAAAAATTATATCAACGATTTAATTAATAATGTATCACAAAAATATATGGTAAGAGTTTTTATATTCTTGAATGATTTTTTTGAATGACTTTTGAATGAATTAATTCAAAGAAATAAAAAAAAAAAATAATCAAAACTTTTATTATTATTTGTTGTTATTATTACAAGCATGATTTGTCTCATTTTCCTGAAAACTTAAATCAAACTTATGATAAAGATTTGGGTCTCTCTTGGTGTGATCCAATAAATCAAAGTTCATCTGCTTTATCCTTGAAAAAAATTATGGAAGATTATAGAATTAAAATTATGGATGAGGAAAAGAATTTTGAAAGATTCATTTCAAATATGATTAAAAGGCACAAAGAAAAGGTATGAATAAAAAAAGAATAATCAATTTTTTTACTATCAATATGCATATGAAATAATTAAATAAAGAAATAATTGTATATTTCTTTCTTTTTTTTTTTTTTCTAGGTTCAAATTTTATTGCGTGAAAGAAACAAAAAGATTGAGTCTTTATTATCAAATGGTGTAAACAATTTTCCAATCAAGGAAATTAAAGAAATCAATGAAAAATCTACTATTAAAATTAACGAAATTAATGAAATTCAAAGGCATTGGTCAATTACTGATGACAAAGAAATTTCTGTCCATGTAGATCATAATGAATTTATTTCATCACCCAATTGGTTTAATTCAATAGATGATGATGATGATGAAAGTAGACCTATTAATATTAGTACTCCAGAAAATTACAATTATAATCATTTGGATGAGTTGGAAAAGAGTTTCAATGGTTTTCGTATTGATCAGAAACCAATATCAGTAAGATCTTCCCCTTCTGAATCTATGTACCACGAACCTGATGATGGAGATTTAGATAATAATTTAGGGATTTTAGTATATTCCCCATCTTTGAACTTCCAACCAGTAAAAAATAACTCAGTCGAAAAGCTTAAAGAAAATGATGTTATTACAATTAGTTCGACAGATACCTCACCCGCAAATAATAATCCCATTACTCGTCCAAAGAAAATTCAGAAAGAATGGGACTCTCCCATTATTCAATCAAATTATGATACACATGAAATGGATGAAAAAATGGAACAGGAAATTGAAAAAAAAGTTGAATCTAAAAAAATGCCAAATTATAAACGTATGACTGTAATTGAACTAAAGGCATGTTCTTTTTCTCGATACTAATAAGTCAAGTTAAATTTAAATTCATTGAATATATTTATTTTTATTTTTATTTTTCTTTTACCTTTTTTTTTTTATTTTATTTTTATTTTTTAGGCGGAAGTTGCAAAATATGGGATTCGTCCTTCAGGAAAAGATATAATGGTTCGTCAATTGTCTTATATTTGGAAACAGATGAACCCTGAAGAATCAAGTGACAATGGCAAAAATTTCAAAGCAACATCGAGTTCTAAATTGAACTTCCAACCAACATCGAGTTATAAATCAAATAATAAATCGAGTTATAAAAATATAGAGAATAACATTGAAAATGAATTAATAGAGAAAAGTAGCTGTAGTAGTGGTAGTGAAGAAGAGAGTGATAAAAATGCTAATTCGTTAAATTCTTTTGAAAATGAAAAAAAATACATTACAAAATCAACCGATTTTCCTTTATTTGAAAAGATAAATAATTACATTAAACAGGAACCAAATTTGTATTGTAGTATTCTTCGTTACGAAGTATGATTTCATTTCATTTTTTTTTTTTTTTTAGAAAATTCGAGAATATATTAATAATAAATTGTAAATCGTATCAGTTTGTAGAACTTCATGAATTACTAGAAAAAATCTCAAAAGCGGGCATTAATTGTACGGAACGACAATTACAATACTTTTTGGATAGTAAGGTATAAATATATCTTTACATTTTCAAAATTTATTAATAAATAATTTAAACAATTGAATAATAAAATATTTATCAAATATTAGGGCATCGTTAACCATTCATTACAAAGAACCAAACAATGGCGTAAAACGAAAAAAACAAAAAAAAATATAAAAGTATACTCGTAAAACTCATGAAATGCATTATTTATTATTTATTAGAATTTAAGAAAATAAAATAAATATAAATCATTTTCAACATTTCTCTACAATTCTCGCTTGAATGTTAAGCGGGTGAACTCAATTTCTTGGTTTCTATTCTGTTGTTTTTTAAAAACTTCATTATATGATAAAAAGAATTATTAACCAAGAATTTTTGCATTTTTTTTTGTTTTTTTTTTTTTGTTTTTTCTCTCGTTTTCGTATAATGAGTTTAAAGAATTTATAGAATAACAAAAAAATCATTCGAATAGATCAAAATCATTAGTCATTTTTATCAGATGCATGTATCTTTTGCAACTTATTCAATAAATACTGTCCTGCGTTCAATGTCATTTCTTCAGCTTTCTCATTTTTACCGTTCAGTACAAATTTCGAAGGGATTGATTCCAACTTTACATCGATTGTAGGATGAAAGAAATATACAATGCTATATCTATCGAAATTCAAATTATCTTCTTTGAAAGTGACTCGATGTTTTATGGATTTGTATAAACCGCGTGTCCAAAATTCTAAACAATCACCAATATTGATCACTATACAACCAGGAATTATAGGAACTGGAATCCATTCGGTAGAGTTTGGTAACAATACTTCAAGTCCACCGATATCTTTTTGAAATAGAACACTAAGTGATCCGTAATCTGAATGACTAAAAAGAATAAAAAAAAAAAATGAAATGAATTAAAATAAATAGAATAATAATAATAATAATAATAAAAAAGAGAATAATAAATTCAATTATATATTATTTATCTAATTTTAGATAACTTAACTTACATGCCAGCTCGGATGTCATTTTCAATAATTTTATCTACTGCTGGATAATGAAGGACCCGTAAACAATCAAATGAATCCAATTCATATTTATGCTTATCAAAGAACCAATTTTTTCCTCCTTCAGATTCGGGAATTTCTAATGCAATTGCAAATAATTCTAATAACTTTAAACATAACTTATAACTACCCTATAATAATTATATTTAAAAAATATATATTTCAATGTATATTTTTTTTTATTTATTTTTTATTTAAAGTTGGTGATAACATTTTATTGTACCTTTGAAATTTCTGAAATCAATTTTTTCTTTTCCTTAAATAATGGAGGGAATGGCGATACCACCGATGGTTCGTCTTGTTCATTAAGTTTACATATATTAAAAGATTCTTTAGCATCACCCATTATTTGATTATCAGGATTACCAGTTTCATGACGGTAGCCAATGTAACCATAATGACTTTCGTCGATGTTATATTTAATCTTTTCTTCTAATGGGAAATCGAAGAATTGTTTGATCTTTTTTTTTTTGATACGACAATGGTTTTAAATATAAATAATTAAAATTAAGTTTTATCTCATAAAAACATTCATCATTTATTAATTTTCATCATGTACTATTTTTTTTTTTAATGAATTCAATTAAAAAAATTTAATAATTCTCAAAACTTTCTTCTCTTTAAAATTCGGTTATACCTACGCAACTAAAAATATCATCAATTGATTCTTGAGCAAATCCATGATTCTTTAAATAAAAAAATCCCACATTTTCGCATGCATATTTAAGTTGACGAATACATTCAGATTGATTAATTTCATAAAATGAAAAATCAACAATTGGAATTTGATGAGAGTTCATTTTTTTTTTTTTTGCAATGACTTAACAATTAAGTAAAAATATATGAATTTAAAATTGTTAATTCTTAGTCACCTGGCCATTTCATAAGTGATTTTGTGTAACAAATTTGTCCGTTAATCCATTTTATTTGCCTCTTAAATTACAAGCTTTTAGCTTTTTTCAAGTCTTGTTATTTAAATATTATACATTTAGATAGTATTCATAAAACTCTATTAGGATCAATGTAAACATTTTTGTTATTAAAAAAGGAATTGATTTTTTGCAATCTAATTTTACTAATAATTTTTAAAAAATTATTTGGTATTATGAATCTTTATATTATTGAAAATTCGCTTCTTTAAAATAAAATAGGCAGTAAAAAGTTCGAATTTTGTGGGGAAAACTGGTTACGCAAGAAAATTGAGCAACTGATTTGCACATAAAACGTTTCACATCACATTATGTTAACTTGAATCAGATTAAAGGCGGTCAAAAAAGTTAATTCAATCAAATCATCCTCATCTTTTAAACATGATAACAATTGTTGAGCGGAGGTTAGAAAGGGGGGGGAAAGTAATACATAAATCTAAATAATATAATTTTAAAATATTTTGTTATTAAAATTAAAATACTGAATTTTCTAAATAATTTAATATTTAGGTATATTGTTATTTAATACATATTTCTTGAATATTTTAGTGTATTGTTATTTAACATAATACATATTTAATACATAAATTACATAAATTTTCTAAATAATTTTTTTTTTTTGTTATACATTTTCTTTATCTATTTTTATTTTTATCCTAACTTGTATTTCTTACATCATTAATTGCCCCTCTATTTTATTTACAAACAAAAATTCCGATTTTTTAATAGTTCAAGGTTTTATATATAAAGTAAAACCCGTTAAATCATGTGATATGTTTATTAATATATTTGTCTGCAACTCCTAAAAAGGTAAAGAAGAACAATTGTTTTGTTGAAACTTCTAAAAACAAAACCTCAATTGATTCCCTTTTTAAACAATAATCCTTTATTTGTATAAAAACATCTGTATTATCTGTATTTATTGTCTTTGAAAGCCACATGGTCAATTATTATCTAACCAAGATTCGTTTTTTTCCTTTTGTTTCTTTGTTTCAGAACACATTTTACCCAAATATAAAAAGGATATTTATTTTTCCTTTTCATGAAATAAAATAAAATAAAATAATAAAATTTAACAATTCACAAAATTCATATTTTCAAAAAAAAAAAAATGAGTATTAAAACGAAGGTAGCAAAAACTGTGATAAAACACACGCTGGGAAATATGACAAATAGTTCCGTGCGTGATCTGCCTCCCCAAGAAGAACCTCAAATTCATGTAACAATTCCTGAAAATGATCAAATTACTCCTGGAGGTAAAATAAAAAAAAATAAATGGAATATTCCACCAAACCTAACACCATATGAGGCAAAAATTTTAACAAGAGTGAAAAAGAGAGCAAATGTTTTGGATTATGGTTATTGTTTCTGTTGTTGTTGTAGAATTGGGTTGGATCCAATAATAGGTAAATATATTATTGATTAATTTATTTTTTATATTATCCTTTTGTTTTTGTCTTTTTTTTTTTAATTAAATTTAAAATTTTTTTTTATAGGATTAATACCCGTTATTGGTGATTTTATGGGTGTTTTCTTGGCTTTGTCTTTAGTTAACACAGCAAAAAAAGTTGATTTACCAAAACACGTGATTGTTCAAATGCTTTTCAACGTATTTTTTGATTGGCTGGTAAGAATTAATGGTTATTTCTTATAATTAAAAAGTATAAATCAAAATTAATATAGAAATTGATTTTTTTTTTTTTTTTTTTTTTAAAAAAAAAAAAAAGTTAGGATTGGTACCTTTTGTAGGTGATTTTTTTGATTTCCTATACAAAACAAATATACGTAATTCAATACTTTTAGAAGAATTTTTAGTAGATCGAGCAAAAAATAGATCTGTAGTGATTGAGGATGGATCGGTTGAAGTTATTAGAGCATCACAATTATCACAACCACCAAGTGTTGCTCAAGGGCCTGATCGTAGCGGTAGATTTTAACACACTTAAAAAAAAATAATAATATTTTGTCAAATGTATTATCATCAATTATTTTAATATTTAATTTCTTCATTATGTAAATCTTCAAGAGCTTGATTATCATCTTTATCTAATTTTTCATAAAACTTCTATAATAATATATGTATCGGATAGCATTAAAAAAAAACATTAATAAATAATGAATTTATAATTAGCGAAATGCCACAATATAATAAATTTAAAGTTTTATTTTTAAAAATCAAGCAAAAAATTACAGCACCCAACTAATATACTGACTAGGCCATCAGTGGCTTAACTTTGGAGATCACGTTATTGTACAGATCTTTCGATATTTTCATAAGTACGTAGATCTTTTTGTTGACAAAACTGATATTCAGTAATAGTAATTTAAAGTGTCATTTTTATATATATATATATAGTGAATTTTATGCTTGCTTCATCTAAGAAATTATTTTATCTAATTGGTGACGCGCGCGCGTCATCTACTACAATAGCTATTGGCAATATTGGTTATGATGTAAATATTTCAACTTTAAACTTATGACATCACTACAATTGTTGCAAAATTTAAAAATATGACCAAGGTTTATTATATAAAATATAAACTTACAAAGTCTATTAAATCCACTGTTATTTACAGTCTATAATTGTTTTTCTTTAATTATTGTTCTAATTGTTTTTTTAAAAAAATCTTTGAAATTATAAAATTAACAAGTTAAACAAAACAACTACGAATGTAATAGATTAATTAAAATCGACTGATATCTCTTCCAAAACTCCATGTAAGGAACCAATACATAGGACTAAAGAAATATTTAAATTAAAAAATGTGGTTAGTCAAATAATAATATGCGCAAAAAAATGAGGAATGAAAAAAAAAAACGAAAAAAAAGTTTTATTTACATTAATAGCTTGTTTCTGAGAGATACTGTCATTGTAAAGTATGAAGATCTCCAAAATAACCATGCAATAGTTCCACCTTCTTTCGCACGTTCGGACATGGGAGTCAAATCAACGACAGCTTGATAATAGTTAAGAATTATAATTAAGAGTTATAATTAAGAATTATAATTAAAATTATAATTAAGTAATAATTAAAAGATTACCTTCTTTTTTACCAATGTAAGCCATACTTCCTAAATTTCTAAATACGAAAGGACTAGTTCTTACCATTGATCCTTTATCTTCGGCTATTTGATTCAAAGCTACAATATACATATATATATATATATATATATTTTTATATACTAATATATAAATACAAATATATACTTCCAATAAAAATATAAAAGAAAACATGCCTTTGCTCAAATATTTTGCCTTTTGATTAGCCACTTGAGCTGTGGCGGGAAGATCATTATCTTTAATTGTAGCGCAATCACCAAGTGCATAACTAAAATATTATGTTAATATGTTAAATACATAATATAAGGCTTTAATTTAATATATAACTTACACATTGTCTATTGGTTGGCCATTTTCTTTACTTAATACTCGCAAGAATTCGTCCGTTAAAAGCCTGTAATAAATAAGTCATATAGATAAAAGTCATATAGATAAAAGTAATAGAGAGTATTTAATAAGAAAAAAAACTTTAATAAGAAAACTTTGATTCGAAAGTTTGATATTACCTTCTTGCTGATTTATCTTTTAACACTTGGTCACTCATAGAACGTGTAAATGGATTATCTGTCAATCCTAAAAATAAATGAATAAATGAAATTTAGTTTTGCTTTTTTTTTTTTTTGAAAATAAATAAATTTGATAAGAGAAATTATTTTATTAAACATGCCAGTTGCCCAAACTAACATTCCATAAGGTACTTCTCCGCTATCTTTTATCACAAGTTTTCGTTCCGTTACTTCAACAACTTGCGTATTTGTACGGATTTTGATACCTTTACGAGCAAACTTTTTGGTTGCGTAATCTCTGAGGGATACATCAAAGGAACCAAGAATTTGAGGTGCAACATCATATACCGTCATAGTAACTTTATTCATTAAACGTGGATATAAACGAGATATATCTTCAGTGATAAAATCATAACTAATGAGATATACGAAAGTAATATAAGTAATGATAATATTTATCAAATTTTAAATGTAAACAATGTTTGTAACTTTTAATAACTTACAGTTCAGCACTAAATTCGACACCCTAAATATAAACAAATGAATTTTTTTTTTTTAAAAAAAAAAATGTAAAATGTTTAAATACAATACAAATATTCATTATAAAATCAATACACACAGTTGGACCTCCACCAACGACCGCAAAATGCAATAATCCAATTATTTCTTCCTCAGATATTAATGGTTGACTTGCATGTTCAAAACATTCAATTACTCGTTGACGTATTTTGCGAGCATCAGAGACATCTTTTAAAAACAAAGCATAGTCTCCTACTCCCTTAATGCCAAAAGTATTCGAATTTGCTCCAACTGCGATAACTAACGTGTCATACGGAATAGAAAACTTATTCTTACTAAGCTCGAGATTAGATGTACAATGAATAACTTGATTTTTTAAATCTAAAAAATAAATAAATTTAGTATTATAATTTTAATAATATTTATGGTTTCGATTTTTTTCCATCTTTATAATGAAACTAAAGATTTATATTTACCTATATTATCAGCGTAAGCCTGATAATATTGTAGATTCGATGAATGCTTTCGAATAGGTTCCATGATGCATCTGAATTCTAATGTACCCACAGAAGATGAGGCGAGCAATGGAGTACTAAAATAATATCCACACGAAAAGATAAGCATAAAAAATTATTTGAACAATAAAACAACTAAAACGAACTTGTACGTTACTTACAATACGAAATAATTCCTGTTAAAATCGAAAAACGGAAACATATCAAATTTCATTAATTAGTAACTTTAGTTTTTTTTTTTTCTTTTAAAAAAATTTTCAAGGATCAAAAAATAAAAATACCTTGGCGAAATAACAATCACTTCATAATGTTCTTTCCTTAAATCTCGAAGTAATTTAAATCCTATAGTAATAAATTACGAGAATGTAAACAATTATGATCATTTTGATATAATAAAACACATTAAAAAAAATATTAACCTGCCCAACCGGATCCTTTGATATACATATAAATGAATCAATTGTTTAGTTAATTTATGAATATTTGAAAAAAAGATCATGTTTATCATTATAAACATTATAAATTCATACCAAGAATAACTAATCGACCTAAAAAAAAAGAAAAAAAATTAATAATTGTCAATAGATTAAATATATATTTTTTAAATTCTTTGTACCTTGAGTTTTTCCTAACGATTCGATGCTTCTCTTAGTAATTTTATTGAATATCAATTTTTTTTGCGAAATTTCATTTTTGCCGTTTATCAATGGCAATCTTTTTGGATGAAGAATTTCATGTTGATAATTATGATAATTACACATTACGATAAAAATCGGTTTGAAAATCGCTTGTAAATTTTTTAAATTTTTGGATTGCCTTACTAATTACGAGATGAGAAAATTCAATTTAATTTCATTGCATTTAAATTCAAAAAAAAAAAAAAAGTTGCGAAAATCTTAATTTTAAAGTTAACTTACAAAAGGGAAAATTACGATGATTTTGGATTATTATTGGAATCATTTTTTTCAATTACAAAATATCGTCAAAAAATGGAGTATTTATAAACGTTTTACAATTTAAACAAAAAAAAAGCATGTGAAATTATTAAATGGCATAAATAAACATGACATAAACGGAACAATGACACTGCATGTTCCAATAATGAATTTTACCATTTTCATTACATTATATTACATAATTTTATTTATTTTTAATCACATGTTTTACAATTAATTTATGAGTAGTGCATTTCTTTTGGCATCTACTGTATTGTTTCATTAGATTTCAAGTTATTATTTGTATTGAATTTTTACAGATCTCAACAGCAATTTTCATATTCTTCAAAGTTTATTACAACAATTTTAATTGATATTACATTGTTAACAATTTTAATTAACATTCTACTGTTAACAATATCCTTCAAAATTTATTATAACATTTTAATTGACATTCTACTGTTAACAATATCTTTCAAAATTTATTTCTGATTCTTTTTTTTTAATTTATAATTTTTATTATAATTATAATAACAACAACATTATTTATTGATTGGAATTGGAATTTCAGCACCAGACATTTTTTGTTTATATAAATAAAAAATATCTTAAATTAAACTATAATAGACACAAGTGTGATGAGCATTCTGCATTTGCCTCATCATTCAAGTGATAAGCATTTTGTATTTGTCTCATCAAAAATGAGATGTTTGTAGTCTACACATCAGATGCTATATAGATTACCATTGAGACATATGTCAATGTAATGAGCATTTTACATTTGTCTCATCATTTGAGTAATGTGCATTTTGCCTTTTATAACACATATCAGATTACATGAACAAAAATATATTGACAATGCATTTAACCATGTATCATCATTTGTGAATTCAATGTGAAGATTATTTTCAAACTTGGTACATTGTTACAGAATGAAATTATCATGATAAAAAAAATATATAGTATACAATTCTAGAAACACCTGCAAATACTTAGTAATAACATTAGATAATAGTATTAATTTATAACATTAATTATTATTACATATTATTATTTAACAATAATTATTAACATCTAGTATCAATTAGTATTAAATATATTTAGTAAATAATATAAGAAAATGGTAATCAATAGAAATAGTGCACAATAAGGTACAGTAGTGACACAGTAATGTAGATTACATAAAATACTTATAAAAAAGATCAAAGTTCTACTTTGATTCCTTAGTTTACAATTTTATAATTTTGAATTTTAATAATTTGTAATTTATTTAAAATTGATAAATTTAATTTTATAATTTATAACTTCAAGATAAAAACTTGTAAAAATTACCTTGCAATTGGATTAATAAAATAATAAATATTGGAAATATAAAATAAAAATTATAAAAATAACTATTAAATATAAAAATATAATAGTTAATAAAGGAATAATGAATATTATAGGATTAAAATACTTGATTGTATAATTATATAATAATATTATTTTTGAGTTAATGAAATTAATTACAAACTATTATTATAAATCCTGAAATTGGAATAATACTTAATCTTGATGAATAGAAATAATACTTTATTATGATAAAATTGAAAAACAATTAATAAATAAATATTAATATTAAAAGTAATAATAAATTTAAAAGATATTGAAATAAATTAAATAAAAAGTCTGATTTTCTTTCTAAAATAATTAAATCAGTGATATCTTCTAAAACAACTGAACAACAGTCTTACCTTCAGGAAAAAACTATAAATTTCTTAAAAGAACTATTAGATCATATCACTAATTTGTCCTTAAGAAAACCAGAAACCACTGGTAACAATATAATGTTTTAGTTTTTTAATTAATTCTTCTATGAAGACTAGAGTTAAGATATGTAATGTTGAAATAATTCTACTTAGAAGATTCTGATGTAAAATATAATAAAGTATCTATTTTTACTTAAAAGGTTTTTAGAATAAAAAAAAATATATCACATTTGAAATATATAGTATCAAATTGTTATCACTTATTTAGTAGTACAGGTCAAATATAAAAGATATATCATATCAAAAAGAAATTTTAATTTTAGTTAATTTATAATATAGAATATAATAGGATAATTAATTGTTATCAATTTTAATTAATCCATAATATAGTTAGACTTATATATTATCATCATCTCGAAACTGAATTTTAATGGTGATTATAAGTATATATGATAATATAAAAAAACCTATATATAATTACATTATATATAAAATATATCACTGGTGATTATAAATTTTTATAATTAAAATTATAATAACTTTATTATATTTTATATTATATATTATCTTCCAATTCAAAATTTTCATTTATTTCAAAACTCATATCAATAAAAAAAATACTATTTAATTTTGTTTACTTTTTATTTGAAAATTCTAATTTTTCAATAACTTATATATATTTAAATTTAATTAATCTTCAAAACAAAAATCATCTAAATTTTATTGTTCAAAAAAACTTATTTATTTTTTTTAAAGATGCAAGACCTTCTTTAATATTAATAGCAAGTAGTTCTTTATTATCAAATTCATTATTAGTATTAATATTTTATAATTCGAAATTATTTTCTTTCAATTATTTGATTATTAGTTAATAATTTTTCAGTAATTATATTATTGTTATCTTCAAATTTTAATAGAATATTTATATCTAATAAAAGATTATCAATTTTATTTTAATTTTGTAAATACTTATCTTGTATACTATTTTTAGTATCATTAATTTTTTTTTACTTGTATCTAATAAAATTCTTATTTTAATCTAACAATTTACAATTGTTGATTGTATTATTTTTTTTCAAGCTTTTTTAATAAAATTAATTATTTCTTTAATATTTAATTTGTCAAAATAATAATTAAAAAATAATTAAAAAATAATTAAAAATAATTAAAAATAACTAAAAATAATTAAAAAAATAAATTACAATTTATTTATATTTTTATTTTTATTAAATTTTTAAATAAGGTTACAACAATATAATTGTTTATATTTTAACTATAATAAAATAAAATAAAAATATTTAATATTAATTAAATTAAGATATTAATTTTTAAATAAAATTATTTATATCATACTTTAAATTATTTATAATACCTACATTACATGATTATAAATAAACAGTTGTATTTGGAAATAAATATTGTAATTTAATATTTGTGAGATGAATTTTTTGAATTTGAATTAAATCTTAATTATTATTATCAATTTCATCATTAATATAATTAGGATTTTTTTATGATACTGCATTATCAATTAATAATATTATTTTTCTTTGTTCTATATAAAATTTATAATCTAAATTCTTTAATTAATTTTCAAAAATATTATATCATATCCAAGCTTTTGAATTTGATTTGTATATTATTAAAAATATTAATATATTAATATTTTTAAAATATCTTGAACATTTATAATTTTCAATTATTAAAGATTTCAATTTTAAAGTATCAATAGTATTAGTTATTAATAATATAGTTAATTGATATTTATTCTAAAAAATAAAACTTTTAATAAATTAAAAAAAGTAAATATAATTATTTAAATAAAAAATATATTTTTACTTTTTTTTTTACTTTTAACAGGACTTGACATTTATAAAATAATATCAGGAAATTTTTGAAAACAAATATATTCAGATATATTTGATTACTTATATATTTATTTACATAAATTACATTAATCTATATTAATCTGTATTTATTTACATTAATTCATATATTATACTAAATATATTTATATATATTTATAAATGTATCTTATATATTTAGTTTTTATTAATTGCAAATATATCTGCATATATTTGTGAATAAAAATTTTCTAATGAAACCTGTTTTATCAGCATTATAAATGTTTTTCAATTTATGACCAAATAAAAACTTTTGAAAAAATTCTTTTTATTGAAATAACACATCTAATGAAATACTATTTACTTCATCATTCAAAATAAAAGAATATAAATAATTTCTTTATTTAAAATCCATTAACCATTCATAAAATAATAATAATAATTTATTTGAAATATTTAAAGCTTATGTAAATTTTCTAGCTTTTTTACATAAAATATTATACTAATAATAAGATTATTAATTAATACTTGATTTATTCAAAAACTAATGGTTTTTTTTAAATAAGAAATTTTCACTAAACATTTTTAAAAACTTTATTGAAATTTTCAATTAATATAAAATTTTTTCATTTGTCTTTATCTTTAAGTATTTTTGAATAGTGGAATATTTTAAGGACAAGTTAAAATAATTAATATTAAATGAGTTTATAATTTCAATATGAGTTTTATCAAAATTTTATTTAAATAAAAATATATTTTTTTCTTTATTTATTAACTAATAGTTGAATATTTTTTGTTTGTTCTTTTATAATGGCATTTTTATTAAAATCTAAAATATTATTTAATTACCTTTTAATAGATTATTTATAATTAAAATTAATAATAATAATTGTAATAGTGCAATAGTGAAATGGTAACACTGGTCGAAAATTGATAAAACATACACATATCAGATACCCGATATGTACATGGTGTGTCCCTAATATTGTGTATATATCGAATACCCGATAAGTGTAGAAAATATTTTTTTACACTTATTGGGTATCCGATATATATATAAAATATTTTCTACACCTATCGGGTACCTGATATATGCCTGATATTAGGGACACACCATGCACATATTGGGTACCCGATATATATATGTTTTATCAATTTTCGACCAGTGTAAAATGGTGATAATAAGAATACACAAATAATAATATCAGTAATAATTTAAGATAAAAAAATTAAA